AATATAGGGTCAGGAACCCAAACATGTATTCCTGACCCTATAGTGTCAAAACCACCCTCTAGCCCCCATGGGTCCCTCATGACTCCATAAATATAGTAAAAATCTTACTGTATTCAAGCTTGAAGCTGTAACTCTGCATGCTGTTAGACTCAGAAAACAAGCAGTCGGCTGACATCATCAGAAGTGGTAGCCTGATCCAATCACAATGCTTCCCCATAGGATTGGCTGAGACTGACAAGGAGGCAGATCAGGGACAGAGCCAGCATGTTTCAAACACAGCCCTGTCCAATCAGCATCTCCTCCTAGAGATTCATTGAATCAATGAATCTCTATGAGGAAAGTTCAGTGTCTGCATGCAGAGGGAGGAGATACTGAATGTTTGGATGCATTTTAGGCAGCCATGACCCAGGAAGGATCTTTAACAGCCATCTGAGGAGTGGCCAGTGAAGTTATCACTAGGCTGTAATGTAAACACTGCAAGTCAGTGTTTACAGCAAAAAGCCTGAAGGTAATGATTCTACTCACCAGAACAAATTCAATAAGCTGTAGTTGTTCTGGTGACTATAGTGTCCCTTTAAGTTAAAACAAGAAAGGTAATCCAATATATTAGAAAAATGCATAAGAATGACAGTAAAAAATCTCAATACAATAAACAATTAAAAATATAAAAATATAAATAGAGCAATACTTACAAAAACTAAATTAAAAAGTGTATATTATTATTTAAAATTGTGCTCAAAATACAGAATTCCTATTCCAAAATAGAGAATAAACCCAGATGACAGAAATAAGATGAAAAAATGCAAATATAAATATAACTGGGATTTAGTAAGGAAAATATACAGAAAAAATATGAAACAAATTATAATAATGTAAAAGGATAATTATAACTAGAAAAGCTACAATTTCTGGGGAAATAGTGTGAAGTGTTCTTGCCTCCACCAGTAGTCTACAACTGGAGTGGCCGGAGTAACTGTTATTATTTATTTATATAGCACATTTAATTGCAATGTTGATGCCCAAAGTGCTTCACAGTTACATTAAAACATACCGTATTTTCCAGCGTATAAGACGACTGGGCGTATAAGACAACCCCCAACTTTTCCAGTTAAAATATAGAGTTTGGGATATACTCGCCGTATAAGACTACCCCTCTTCCAATGCACACCAAATACAAATTAGCTATGATGTACAGTGAGCAGACAGAGCTACACAGCAAGACATTAAATAATGATAATCTGAAATAGCATTTAAAGCCCAGGTATGTGCCAGGCTGTTTGGGCATATAATCCATGCCTGCTGGTCTAGCACACAGGAGGCTAATTGCGATATATTCTTTTTACTCCCCCCCTCCATTCTTTTTAATCCCCCCTCCATTCTTTTTACTCCCCTCCTCCATTTTTTTTACTCCCCCCCATTCTTTTTACTCCCCCCCCAATCCTCCCTACATTCTTCTCACCTCCCCTTCCCTGTGCAGAGTGGGTGGCCGAGCTCCTCTTCATCCTGTCAGTCCGGCCGGGTACCGTGCGGTACAGGAGATTCAGTTACCTGTTCCCGGCCGGACTGACAGGACGAAGAGGAGCTCGGCCACCCACTCTGCACAGGGAAGGGGAGGTGAGAAGAGAGGCAGTGCGGCAGCCATCTGAGCACTCTCTATAGAGCGCTCAGGCTGCTGCAGCATTAGAAGGGCCGGCGATGGGGGCGCAGGGCGCCCCCGGCAGCCATATAGACCCTATACCCGGCGTATAAGACGACCCCCGACTTTGGAGAAGATTTTCCAGGGTTAAAAAGTCATCTTATACGCCAGAAAATACAGTACATTTATAAAAACATTAGCAGGTGTACAAAAGGCCCTGTCTATGACATCACCTGCTGCTCCAGCCTGGCACAGGTCAGAGTATTTTGGCGATTGCCATCTTCAAACAGTCGTATTTTAAAAACTATAAATCCTACAGCGAAGAGCTTTATATTGTGATAAGACCCAGACCTACGTTTTGATGCATAGTATGTCTCTGAGATAGTAAAAATGAAGGCACATTTGCAGTTTAGAAATTGTTCTTTGAATTTGAGCTGGCTAGAGTGGAGTTTTAATGAATGTCAATGGACGCAGGCCCGTCGCTAGCGGGCAGGCAAACCAAGCTTGGGGCCCCAAGCTGGTCCGGGGCCCCAAGCAGAGCCGGTGCTTCCTATAAGACTGCAGCCGCCTGAGCGCTCTATAGAGAGCCTCAGGCGGCTGCAGCACTTCTCGTCATTACCTTCCCTTCCCTGTAGTGTGGCCGAGCTCCTCTTCCTCTGGACTGACAGGAAGTGCACACTGAGTGCACACTGAGTGCTCACTTCCTTTTAGAAACTGAATCTCCTGTACCGCGCGGTACCCGGCAGGACTGACAGCCAGGAGGAAGAGGAGCTCGGCCACGCGCTACAGCCAGAGAAGGGGAGGTGAGAAGAACATAGGGAGGGAGGGGGGAGTAAAAAGAACATAGGGAGGGGGAGGGGAGTAAGAAGGACACCGGAGGAGGGAGTAAGAAGGACACAGTGAAGGGGGAGGGAGCAAGAAGAACACAGGAGGGGGGAGGGGGGAGCAAGAAGGACACGGGAGGAGTAAGAAGGACACAGGAGGGAGGAGGGGGGAATAAGATGGACACAGGCAGGGGAGTAAGAAGGACACAGGCTGAGGGGAGGCAAGACACAGGAGGGCGGAGGGGAGCAAGAAGGACACAGGTAGGGGGGAGCAAGAAGGACAAAGGGGAGGGGTAAGAAGGACACAGGAGGGGACGAGGGAGCAAGAAGGACACAGGAGGGAGGAAGTGGGAGAGAGGGGAGCAAGAGCACAGGGAGAGGGAGGGGAGTAAGAAGACACAGGAGGGGAGGGGAGGAAGAAGAACACAGGAGGGGGGAGGGGGGAGCAAGAATGACACCTGGGGAGGGGAGCAAGAAGGACACAGGAGGGAGGAGGGGGAGCAAGACGGACACACAGGGAGGGGGGAGGGGCGAAGAAGGACACAGGGAGGGTGGGGTATAAGAAGGAATACAGGGAGGGGAGGGGAGTAAGAAGGACACAGGAGGTGGGAGGAGCAAGAAGGAGACAGGTAGGGGAGTAAAGAAGGACACAGGAGTAAAAGAAGGACACAGGAGGGGTGAGGGGGAGCAAGAACACAGGAGGGGTGGGGGGAGTAGTAAGAAGAACACAGGGAGAGGGGGGGTGAGGAGATGAGGAAAACACAGGGAGAGGGGGGGTGAGGAGATGAGGAAAACACAGGGAAGGGGGAGGTGATGAGAGGCAGAGATGAGGAGAACAGAGGGAGGGGGGTGAGGAGAATATGGGGGGGTGAGAAGAGACTAGTAGGGGAGGATGGAGTGGAGAGGAAAGACCACTAAGGGGCAGGGCAGAGCTCTAAGCAGTGTTTGCACTGTAAACCTGTTTGATTCGGGGCCGGACTGGGGATTCCAAAGCAGCCCTGGAAAAAAAATCTATGCCAGCCCCATAAGTCATTGCGCCATATATTGTCACATGTAATATGTAAGGCTATATCTTGCCACCCTAGATGATTGAGATATATATATATATATGTATATATATATATATATATATATCTTTTTCCAATATAAAATATTGGTTCTTTCAGAGTAAAATTTTTAATTATACAGTAAGCATACTCACATGCAGACACAGACAATCTCCCTGACACAAGCTGATTGATACACAGCCTCATAGACAAACAATCTCACTGATATACATAAGGTCATTAAAATAAAAACACAAGCTCACTCAGTAGCAGGCACACACACACACACAAGCAAGCCCACTCACTAGCAGGCGCGCACACACACACACAGCTTAATGTAGTGGCTCTGGTGTCTACAGCCTGTCCCTGCAGGCTTTTCAATGTAAACACTGACTTTTTAGAGAAAAGGCAGTGTTTACATTGCTTCCTAGTGACAGACACTCAGACGGTCACTAGAGGTGCTTCCTGTGTCAGTGCGGATTGGCTGAGATCATTAAGCTTGATGATCTCAGCCGTAGAGGCAGGGCCAGTTGAGGGGAGACCAGCACGACGTGGGGAAAAAAAAAAGGTGAGTAAAAACACACATACACACACACACATACCATGACAGACACACCGTGACACAGACAGAAACACAGACACACCATGACAGACAGACACACCATGACACAGACAGACATACACACACCATGACAGAGACACACACATACCATGACAGACACACCTTAAAAAAGACACACACACCATAACACAGACCGTGACACAGACACACACGACACAGACAGACACACCATGACACACAGACACACACCACGACACAGAGAGATCGTGACACAGACACACACACACTGTGACACAGACATACATTACATGACAGAGACACACACCATGACAAACACACACACCATGACACAGACAGACGCACACACCATGACAGTCAGAGACACACACACCATGACACAGACACACATTGCATGACACAGACAGACACACACACACCATGACATAGATGCACACACCATGACAGACAGAGACACACAGACACACATCATGACACAGATGCACACACCATGACACAGACGCACACATCATGACAGACAGAGACACACAGACACACACAATGACACAGACAGACACACACACACACACCATGACACACACACACCATGACACAGACACACACATACACTCACACTGACACACACAATGTCTACCTGGGGCTGTGGGGAGCTCCCTTGGCGGCCGAAGGGGGAGCTGGCTGTTCTTGCGGCCGCAGGGGGAGCTGGCTGTTCTGCCTCTGCTCCCCCTCCCCAGCGCACTGCTTACTGAAACCGGGGCCGGAATATGACGTCATATTCCGGCCCCGGTCTCTTTCTAGCGTGCTGGGGAGGGGGAGCAGAGGCAGAACAGCCAGCTCCCCCTGCGGCCGCCAAGGGAGCTCCCTCTGCGGCCGCAGGTGAGCCAGCTGCCTGCCCGGCCCCAGGTGCCGACGGCCCACCGGGAAATTTCCCGGTATCCCGGTGGGCCAGTCCGGCCCTGGTTTGATTTATATAAAGTGTGGGTGAACGTAAACTGTATGGCTATGCTGTGGTTCCTGTAGGCTTTGCTTGTGAGTGGGGGATGGGGGGATTGGGGGTTGGGGGGGGGCCTCCATGTCCATTTTGCTTGGGTCCCCCAAATTCCTTCAAATGGCCCTGAATGGATGGCGTGATTTGCAAACAAATGGTCATATTGTGAAAACTATCAGGATTATGGCTTAGCCGTTAACATGTTTAGTGGCAGCAGGGATAGCTGAACGTTTTGATATAAGATTTGTGTAGGTGGGCTTGAAAATAAGGGAGTGGTGGCAGTTTAGAAATCATGTCCTGATTTTTCAGCTTTTGTCAGCTCCCACTCTAGTTTTTGAACATTTTGCCATTCATTCCTATGGGACCAATTTCACCACAAAAATGAAGATATTTCGTGAACCATTCGGCGAAACGTTCCACAAAGTAATAGCACACCAATCGGGAGCAATCCACACGTTTCGGTATATTACTGTCTATGCAGTGTAAAAACTGTGGGATGAGTTAGTGTGGTAAATTTGGCTATAATAATACGAATAATATATATGTTAGATAACAGTAAGTGGTCTTGCTATGCAAGAACACTTAAATATAAAAAAAATAAGGGGGGGGGGTTTAAAATAAGATAAAACAAGGAAGTTATGGATACTTGGTTATAAAAAACATACTATATCAAAGTCGACATTTAGACCCATAGGACTAAAGGTCTTTAAATTAAAGATCCAAAAACCTTCTCTTTGTCTCAGTTTTCTAATTAAATCACCTCCTCTGTCATCAAGCCTTACTTTCTCCTAACCCGTGCACAAAAAGGTCTTAAAATCAAATTGAGGGCATTTGTTGCAGTGGATTGGTACCGAGTAGGTTGTTAATATTTTCTTTATATTATTACAATGTTCCATGAACCTGGTTTTCAGAGCTCTACTGGCAGGGCCGGACTGGCCCACCGGGATACCGGGAAATTTCCCAGTGGGCCGTTGGCACCTGGGGCCGGGCAGGCAGCTGGCTCACCTGCGGCCGCAGAGGGAGCTCCCTTGGCGGCCGCAGGGGGAGCTGGCTGTTCTGCCTCTGCTCCCCCTCCCCAGCGCGCTAGAAAGAGACCGGGGCCAGAATATGACATCATATTCCGGCCCCGGTCTCAGTAAGCAGTGCGCTGGGGAGGGGGAGCAGAGGCAGAACAGCCAGCTCCCCTTACGGCCGCAAGAACAGCCAGCTCCCCCTGCGGCCGCCAAGGGCCCCACAGCCCCAGGTAGACATTGTGTGTGTCAGTGTGAGTGTATGTGTGTGTCTGTGTCATGGTGTGTGTGTGTGTCATGGTGTGTGTGTGTGTGTGTCTGTGTGTCTGTGTCATTGTGTGTGTCTGTGTGTCTCTGTCTGTCATGGTGTGTGCGTCTGTGTCATGGTGTGTGTCTGTGTGTCTCTGTCTGTCATGGTGTGTGCATCTGTGTCATGGTGTGTGTGTGTCTGTCTGTGTCATGCAATGTGTGTCTGTGTCATGGTGTGTGTGTCTCTGACTGTCATGGTGTGTGCGTCTGTCTGTGTCACGGTCTGTCTGTGTCATGGTGTGTGTGTTTGTCATGGTGTGTGTCTCTGTCATGTAATGTGTGTCTGTGTCACAGTGTGTCTGTGTCACGATCTCTCTGTGTCGTGGTGTGTGTCGTGTGTGTCTGTGTCACGGTCTGTGTTTTGGTGTGTGTGTCTGTCATGGTATGTGTGTGTCTCTGTCATGGTGTGTCTGTCTGTC